TCCACAAGAAAACCCTATCAGGGTTTTTTTTATATCACGTCTCAGTTTTTTTTGTACGCATTTAAAGATGGTAAATTTTTTGACACCCTATAGGAAAAACATAAGTAAAACTATGTTAATTATTCAAAATAATTTTGTTAATTTAATCGAGGAATCCATTTGTGATGTTAATTTTTACCAAAGACCCTCAGAAGAGGACGCTATCAAAAAATTGTTACTAATTTTTACTATTTTTGAAAGTAAGTAATCCATTTTTGTCATCCGTTTGTTGTAAAATATACCCTAGGTTATATTCGAAAGCAATATTTTGGATTTATTAGTATAGAAAACTTGTTTTTTTAAGAAAAAATAGCATTTTTACTTCTTAACTAAACCTTATTAAATTTGCTATTTTATTTTTATTAACTATCACTGCTGTAACCGGCAGTAACACGAGTTTAAGTACCAGAAGTTCCAGCTGTTCATCCAAAAATTGATAAAAATGCAAAATATAATTAATATAATCAAAAATACCATGTTTTAGTATAAAAATAAAAAAATACCTGAATTATACCACAACATTGAAACACCAAATTTCATTGACTTTTTTTTCTTTTGTGATCATTTAATTAAATTGTTATTACAAGTTCTGCAAACTTTTCAACATATTCAATTATATACCGTAATATTGTAGGTACAATTTTTTACATTTTTATATTTTGGAACTAAGTTTTGTTTTATATTATACTGTCCTTTAAATAAAAAATAATTTAATTAAATATATTAATTAAGAAAAACGTTTTATGTTGCTGTCACTGATTTACTATATAATACATAATATTATGTGTTTTTAAGTAAACAAATCAATTTTACCTTTAAACAACCTCGTTTTTGCCACAAAAACTGCAATTTTTTGTAGTAGATAATAATATTTTTTCAAAATGGCGAATACGCCGAAATACTTTTTTTTGTTTTTATCAAAACAGGAAAATGGCATATTCGCCCTTACTTGGAATGGATTCCTCGACTATATTGCCAGAATAATTTAAAAAAATTAAAATTGTTTTACTTATTTTTTTCCTATTATAGGGTGTCCAAAAATCTACCAACTTTAAATGCGTATAATAAAAAACTGAGACGTGATCTAAAAAAAACCTCATAGGGTTTTTTTGTAGAAGCTATTACCTTTCATTTGCTTTTGGTTTCATCCCATTCCCTTTTGCACTGTTGCACTGTGTTATTGATATATCATTATAACCCTCAGTTTTAATCCCGGCGTATCCGTCATTTTTGAAAGTATTTATGTCTCACGACTTGGAACGGGACGGGAACGATTCAAAAACGGAACAATTTTTTACTTTTTTTTACATGAAACTTGTTTGCGGAGAATGTACCTAAATCAAAACTTTGATATATGAAGCAGAAAGGCGCGCGCACATGCTTGCGTTTTATTGAATAATCAAACAAAATTTGCTTGATTAAAAAAAAGGTACGACAGTAAGTAGTTAAAATTAAAAAATGTTAAAAATTTGCAAAATAGTAGGTATAAGGAATAAAAATGGATGCGACAAATTTTAAAAATTTTATAAATAGGTACAAAGTTTTCAAAATCTCCAAAGTTTTTAAATTTCCTTAAATTTCTCAGAAGCTCAAGCTCAAAATTTTTCGGACAATTGAAAACTGCCCAGTTTCAAACAAAATTGAATAGTTGAAAACAGCCCTTAAATTTAATTTAAATATCGGCTTGTTGAACTCTTCAAGGAAACCTATCAATTAAATAAAAACAAAACATGAATTTTAAATAAACTATTTTTTTACATTTCTTATTTTTCTTTAAATTAAAAAAAACGGTTCACGTGATTTGTTTCATAAGGTTGTTTTATGGGCTGGAGAGATAGATATAGATATTGATAGATAGAGAGAAATAGTTTATAGGCCGATAAGTATCATTACTATAACTAACTCTGTAATTGGTCCTTTATTTTTCCTTTGAACATATTCTGACCAAACCGCTGGACCAAAAAGGGTCTAAAATTTTGATAGTTCTAAGAAGAAATTTTTTTGAAAATCCATGCCTTAACGGGTAAATTGGGACTCTTGTTATCATTTATTATTATAATACCTACATTATTATATTAATATTATGTTATAATAATAATAATGCTTTATTGAACTAAAACCAAGTTCAAAGGCCATTGACCGTAGTCCTTCAGCCGTATTATGTTATATTTAATTTGAAAATTTATATCTATATTTTATATAAACTCAATGTGTCGCGACCAAAAAGTTCATCCTTTTTCAAAACGACATAACTTTTTTGTTTCTTAAACGATTTTATTTTGGTCTGTAATGTCTACTAGCCCCATCCTCTGGCAATTCATGCTATAGATATTAAGCTCACGGTTCTTCAAGTAAATTTCGTACAGGGTGATATGTAAAACGGTGAAAAATTTCAATAACTTCATCCAAGCCCCGTTTGAAAAAAGAAATATTTTTTCTCGTTTTTACTTAGTATTATGTCTTACCTTGAAAAGGTTTTTAAATTTTTTGAATTGGAATCTTAGCAACGAAAATATGATTTTTTTTTCAAAAGAGTACATTTAAGGGTTTTTGGTGGGCTTTAAACTTTTTTAAGAACAAGAAGATAAAATGGTGAAAGATTGTTCCTTGAATAATTCTGAACAAGTAAGAAGCAACAAACTTCCATTATTTTCAGAGGGGCCTAAGCAAAGACCACTTTTTCAAAATGTCATTTTAGTAAAAATTTGCGAAAACAAACCTGGACCGATATTTACGTTCGTGACATGTTTTCTTTATAATTTTGACCTCCTGATTGTGATTCAGTTGTCAAATTTAAGTTTCAGATAAAACCAAAATCACCAAGAATCAAAATTCAAAAACAATTCCAGGCTGTTAAATGTCTTAATAAAATCCGATTGCTGGCGTGTTTCTTGCATATTTATGATTAAAATGTCATTTTGGGATTCATTTTTTAGGCGAAATTACTGCAATTTGTTTGAGTGGTTAGGATAATGTTACATAAGTTACATTTACATTGCGCACTAGTGATAACTTATCACTGATAAGTACCTACCTAATTGGTAATAAAGTAAAATAAAAAAATGTTTAATAATTCGTTAACCCTCCTGGGCATCGACCAAGTTCTTTATAAATTCCTGGGGTATCCCATTCTTCCTGAATAGCATTTACCATTTCATCCAAATTTTCCATGCGTCCTTTCCTCTCTTTCATCTTCAGTTTCATCCTGCTTCACAGATGCTCATTATGATTCATATCCGGAGACAAAGGTGGCCAATTTATTCTCTCAATAAGGTGGTCCCTTAAATACTCATTTACGATATTGGCGCGATGCGGACGGGCATTGTCGGCCACCAACACCAATTATTGGCAACATTTTGAGCATGACAACCAAATCTCTATATCTCTTAGCATTCACTCTTTCTATTCATCGCCATTCCACCTCCAAAAGCCACCCTTGCCTCCCGTTTCGTGCAATCTTATGCGAACCGTTGATTTGGAGATGTTAATTCCCGTAGCTGCAGCAAAGTCTAGCATTGGTATTTTAATCATTTAAAGGAAGAATGGAAGTAACCTGGGTAAGATAGTGGTATGTATATAGGTGGGTAGGTATAACTTATGCAAAAAAACTTCGAAATTTTGAAAAACACAAGCAAACTGAAAAAATCAAGAGTATCCCTCATAATGCGTTTTTCAATTTTCATTTGATCCTCGATTTGATTATTCAGCGACATGATAATATCGTACTAAAGATGCAAAGCACAGTAATAGTAAAACCCAGCAATCGTATTTTAATGAGAAATTTAACAGCCAGGAATTGTTTTCAAATCTTAATTCTTGGTGATTATGGTTTTATCTGAAACTTAAATTTGATAACTGAATCACAATCAGGAGGTTAAAATTATGAATAAAATATGTTACGAACGTAAATATCGGTTTAGGTTTAGTTTTCTCAAACTTTCACCAAAATGTTATTTTGAAAAAGTGGTCTTTGCTTAGGCCCTCTGAAAATAATGGAAGTTTGTTGCTTGTGGCTCGTTCAGAATTATTTATTGAACATTATTTTATTATCTTATCTTCTTGTTCCTAAAAAGACTGAGTGTATTGCCTACAAAAAAGCCAATAATGTAGGTACTCTTTTGAAAAAAAAATCATATTTTCGTTGCTAAGATTCCAATTCGAAAAATTTGAAAAACGCTACAAGGTAAGACATAATACTTTATTATTTTAAAGTAAAAACGAGAAAAAAAATATTTTGTTACAAACTGGGCTTGGATGAAGTTATTAAAATTTTTCACCGTTTAACATCACCCTGTAGGAAATTTACTTAAAGAACCGTGAGCTTCATATCTATAGCATGAATTGTCAAAGGATGAGGCTAGCAGACAACACAGACCAAAATAAAATAGTTCAAGAAACAAAAAAGTTATGTCGTTTTGAAAAAGAACTAACTTTTTGGCCGCGACACATTGAGTGGTGCGCAGTTTAGATTAAATAAAAATATTTACTTTTTGTCATTTAAACATTTTTATAAAATTTATTTAAAAAATAGGTTGTTTGGAATGTTTAAGCTGTGTTTAACATTTAATTTCACTGAAAACTTAAAGCAAATTAAAACTTAAAGATAATTTAAATTGTAGAAAAAGAATCGTGCGTTTTCTTGGTTGCCTAACCTAACTTTTTGTTTTATTATTCATATTTAATTTTACAATAATTTAATGAAAAATATTAAACATTAACAGTAAAACAAGCAAATTAGTGCTTATTATAAATAAATTAAACCAGTTTAGTACGTTAATTTCTTAGAAAAGGATTAATTTGTCAAAACAATACCCCTAGCGAGAAAAAATCGAACTAATTACTTGCCTCATAAAATTTTTTATCAGCCTAGGCCATAACGTGGTATTTCTTTATCGAATGTTGACAACAATAAAGTTTAAATTATAGACCGCGTGGAGATAAACAAATTTATTAATTTTTAGGACCGATCTCGTGACGAATCTCAAAGACTTTCATCAACAACAACATTGACCGTAAATATTAAAGATGACGACGATCTTCCACCGTCATTTATTTACAAAGGATGCATGCTCTTGGATGGAACATGCATTAATCCTGAATATTCCACATCGGTAAGTTAATAAATAGATTATTAAGTTTAAAATAAAAATAAACTAAGCAAAATCTGTAAATTCAATGGATGTTTAATTACCTAAGTCCAAGATGCGTGGAAAGTATTTAAAGGTCGGTACAGCCATTTTGCACTTAAAATTAATATCTTATAATATAAAATACTGTATCAAATTATCCGTGTGCATTAGGCACGACTTTTCTTAATCTAAATTATTTTTAGTAGTAAGTACCAAGATACATTATAATATACAAAGTATGGAGTTTTTGTACAACATTTATATATTTTTATCAGCAATTATAAATGTTGTTAGATTATTAGTTATTAATAATAAATCTTTACCTTGTCTGGATGCCAATTATTTTTAAAAATTTCTAAATACTATATGAGTATGAGTATAAGAGACGGCCCCATATGGGGCAATATTGCCTCATCGCTCCCGGGCCCCGCATAGGCATCTTTTTCCTTACGCCGATTTTCTTTCGCCACCAGCAACGGCACGGCTTCACCCGTGTTTGCTGGTTGCGAATGTCCATTGCGTCCCGTACTGTCCCCTAATTAGGGCTCGAGAGCGAAATGCCAATAGTTTTAGTAGCCGGGTTCGCCTGGCCGATGCTATACGCCCAGTAGGGTCATGAAGGAGGTAGGCCGGAAGGGATAGATATTTTGGTGTTTGGGCGAAAATTACGCCGACAGTTAATACACTGAAAAAAAATATTCTTGATTCAAAACAATCTTTGTCTCATATATAACGAAGAGAATATATTCTTTAAAATAGTAAAGTATTTTCTTAATTCACGTTGATTTACTTCAAGAATATTTTCTTAATGTTCTTACATTAAGAAAAGATTCTTGAAGTAAATCAACGTGAATTAAGAAAATACTTTACTATTTTAAAGAATATATTCTCTTCGTTATATATGAGACGAAGATTGTTTTGAATCAAGAATATTTTTCTTCAGTGTATTACTCCAAACATTTGGGATTACTGTATGGAGTTCGGGAGTTGTTATTTTGCTGCAGGGCCCTTCGTCTTGGTCTACGTTTTGGTCGTTATTGTTCATGTCCGTGTCCAAGTAGGATTGTTCCTGCACATGTGACGCCGGGTCGGGCCGTGTCTGCTGAAAATTACCTTCCTGAAAATTCGGGAACCGCTGTACGTCGATTGTGTGCCCCACTTCTTCAGTCTTGAGGTCGAAAACTATCGATAGATAGTTCAGTAGTCGGCCATGTAACTACCGATATTTATTGATAGCTTTTGATGTTTTTTTAAATGTTTATTACCGCAGTAGTGCGAAATGTCTAACAAATTTTAGTTATTCTGTCCCCCAAGCACGTTTTGTTATAAAATTGTATTAATTTCTAACAATAAGTATTGCATTTATTTATTAGTTAATGGTAAGCGCAATTATTCTGTTAATACTATTTTAGGCTTACAGGGACTTAAGGTTTATTTGTTTATGTTTATGATAGACGATCAGTAATTGGTTTCGTGTGTTGCCTACTTAAGATTTGTGGGTTTATTGACTTTCGAGTCACGTCCTTCTGTCGGGTATGCTTGTTTATTAATTTTTAAGTCGAACTTGCTTTGCTGTATAGGTTTGTTGTTTCCTGTTCACCTATTTTGTTTTTTTAATGTATTTTTCAGTAAAATGTTCCTATAAACTTTTCAAATATTGGCGTTGAGAAACTATTTAATACTTTTGTATTTTTGTGTTAAGATAATGAAATAATTTTTACATTTGATTTTATTTTAAGGACACTTTGTATGACATTTGACAATTGTCAACTAACTTAAAACCTGTTGCTTACTTCAGCCCGTGACTAAAGTGCCATAAAGCCACATCCTGTCAATGTGTATTTAAAAGTTCACTTAGTGTCATGAAAACATGTACGATAATGGGCGTTTTAAAGGTGGTAGCAGAAAAATATACCTACTTAATGTTATTGCTTCCTGACTATTTAGGGGGTTGAAGTGAATTTAATTGGTTTATTTTTTGACGGGTATAACTTATTTAAATCGAAAAGATATAAGGAAACAGTTTTGGGTCCTAAATATAATTTAGAAATGTTTGCATTATTAGCCAGCCATCATAAATAGACCCACGACAATAAATTTATTGTGCTGTTGATTCTCCAGAAAATGACAACCCTGTTTAGGTATATTCTCTTCTTTAATCTAATCTAATAATTTCTTTATATTATTTGTAGTCGTTCAAATATCAATATTTTAAGGAATTACAGAACAGATCGAGTTTGAGTTAAAAAATTGTGCTCTAACTGCATTATGGAGCATTTATCGGAAAATTTTTATCAATTCATGTCATTGCGTTTGCTCCATTTTTTGTACAATTTGCTATTATTCAGAGCTTATCACACCGCATTATATTTCTAAAATGGGGATATCCTTGATTTTCGTGTAAACACAAGTTTGGGAATCATTAGTAAATACACAAGCATTATTTTTAAAATACCCAAGTTTTTCCCAATTTCCTTTATTTTTTAGTACATGAGGATAACTGTTGTCTCCAATTTTCTTAAGTTTTCAGTACAGTGTTTTTAGTATTCATTTTTAAACTTTTGGGTGTACCGAAGAGTTTGGGAATCATCTTTAACACACAAGCACTCATTCTTAAGATATCAAAGCTGTTCCCAATTTACTATATTACAATAAATTTAAAATTTAAAAAGTTATTTAAGATTAAATTTAAGAATATTTTTGTTATCTGTTTATTTTGGAATTACTTTTGAAACTTTTTATTAATATTAATTAATTATAATTATCTTTAATGCAGGTTTCTAGTGGAATGCTACATGGAATTTTAAATATTTTACCTGAAAAAATTCAAGCAGTTGATATGGATACCATTAACTCACCTATTCGGTATTCCTTTGTTAGTGGAACTCCAGATTCTTATAGTCAATATTTTCGCATTGATCCTGATACCGGAGCCGTTCATCAAATCAAAGCAGTTGATACTTCAACAACTAAAATGTTTCACATTATCTTAAAGGTATACATATTTATCATAAAACAATACTTATAAAGTTAATCCTCTTATTAATAATTTTCTTAACTGGAATAATACTCACAATTTTCCTTGCTTATCATGATCTCTTTTTATTTTATATATAGGCACAGGAAGTATCAGAAGCAAAAAGATCAACAACGGCTAAATTGTTAATTACAGTAAAACCTGTAGATGCAAATCCGCCTGAAATTAAATTATCTTTTCCGGAAGGGTATGTTGATGAAAATTCCCCAATTGGGCAAAAGGTTTTAGATAAAAATGGAGATCCGCTTATAGTTTCAGTGGTAGATAAAGATTTTGTGAGTAAACAATATCTATTTATAATTATAATTTAAAAGATATTTATTTATTTTTAGAGCCCCGAAGATCCTAAGCCAACATATACGTTTGAACTAACTAGTCCCTCTTTCCTAATTGATAAATTTGGTCACCTTATGGTTAACGAAAACAATTTGGATCGTGATCCACCAAATCCAGGTAGATTTAAATTTCAAATTGTCGCAAGAGAGAAAAATGGAGTTGCTGCTAGCGCCCCTATGTCTGTAACAGTATTCCTAAATGATGTAAACGATAACGCCCCTATTTTACCTATTATACCACCAGTATCTGTTCCTGCTGGAGATTTAAAGCGGAAAGTAGCAATTATTAAAGCTACCGATAATGATGAAGCTAAAAACTCGGAAATAAAATACTCTATATACCATGTTTCAAATAATGGTAATAATAAGTTTACTATTAACCCAACCACAGGGCTTTTAGAAACGGTGGGAAAACTAAATGCAGGGGACCAGTATAGTTTAACAGTTCAGGCTACTGATAAGGGTGAATTGTATACCCAGGCTATCGTTGAGGTTACGATAAGTCCAGGTCCAAACACTCAAGCTCCAGTTTTTGAGCAATCCATTTACGACATTGAAGTAAGCGAAGGAGCTACCATAAATTCTACTATTGCTACGATTATGGTATAATGCTAATTTTTAAATTTATTTTAGTTAATGTCAATTATAACTATTTTTAGGCTCTAGACCCAGAAAACGATCCTGTATCATATTCTATAGTTTCTGGAAATGATTTAAGGCAATTTGCTATTGGTACAAAGTCTGGAATTATAACTGTTATTAGAAAACTGGATAGAGAAGATTTAACTAAATATCAGTTGGTAAATAATTTATATTAATTTTTATTTTTAAATTTAACAATTTTTTTAAGACCATCAAAGCAGAAGACACCGGCAAACTATCGAGTACCGCAACAATAAACATAAAAATAACCGACATTAACGACAAAAATCCAGAGTTTGTAGGTGATCCGTATGCGTTTAAGGTAAAAGAGGGTCTTAATAAAACCTCGGTAGGTTTCGTTCAAGCCAAAGATGCCGATGAAGGTATTAATGCTTTAGTATCGTATTTTATACCATCTGATTTGCCATTTAATATTGATAACGAGACTGGAGAAATTACCACCAATAGACCATTGGATTATGAGACTCAAAAGGAATATAGCTTTGTAGTCACTGCCAAAGATGGCGCCTTAGATCCTAGAATAGCTACAGCTACAGTTTCCATTGAAGTAATTGATGTAGAAGATGAAGTTCCTATTTTTAAGAAGCTAGAGTATGTTGCAGAAGTTCCAGAAAATATGCCCGATTTTTTTATAACGAACGTACAAGTATGTAAAGATAATAAATTTATTAGTAAATTAATGAAATTATTTGTTTTAAGGCATTTGATCCTGATACAATAAAAAAGATAACTTATGTAATTCATCAAGGACCTCCGGATTTATTCAGAATTGATGAAAACACAGGTTCTATTTTTACCACAAGAGGTTTGGATTATGAAAAAGATAGTCAACATGTTTTAATAATTGGAACATTGGAAAATATGTCAAGCAAAGAGGATAGTACTACCAAAATTATAGTAAATGTAGAGGTAAGTTAATTATAAACAAGCTAGTTGTTTAAAAAATAATTTTTTTATATTTTAGGATAGAAATGATATTCCCCCAGTATTTACTATTATACCATATCCAATAACTTTAGAGGACGACGTTGCAATTGGTAGTACCGTGACAACTTGTGTAGCAACGGATTCAGATGGAACATCCCCGGGAAATAAAGTAAGAAATAATAATAGTTTATAAAAATAGATATTAATATGGTATTTATATTAGGTGCGTTATGAAATAATTGGAAGAGGCAAATCCACAAAATATTTCCAAATAGATCCCGATACAGGTGTCTTACGAGTTACCAACGATTTAAAAAAAGAAATTGATACAGAATATCAGGTGGGTTATCCTAAATTACATTTACCTAAAAACTAAGTTATCATTGATTGAATTAATTTATTTAGGTTGATGTGAGAGCTTACGATTTGGGTGAACCACAATTATCTTCAGTTATCACAATAGATATTTACATACAACACGTTGCTACTGTTGCCCCTGAAGTTGGTCTTCGATTTGCAGATACTTCTTATAACTTACAAGTACTAGAAAACGCGACTATCGGTCACAAAATTAAAACACTAACAATAGTTAACAGTAGAACACACGGTCTTAACATACCTTTAAAATGTCAGGTAATTTCTGGAAATAAAGAGGGTATGTTTTTTATTAATGTAACGGAAGACAGAAATTGTGCAGTATACTTAAATGGATCCTTAGATTATGAGGTTAAGGAAAGTTACGAGATGGAAGTACAAATAATGTCCTTACAGGGTTTTATAAACAAAGAATTTAGTATTACACAAATATCTATCAATGTTATGGATATTAATGATAATAAACCATACTTTATATACCCCAGTAGTACTACGTTTAAAAAATTTTACGCTGCCATAACGAACAATTCTCCATTGCAAACTACAGTGATTCAAATTAAGGCCAACGATAAAGACAGTGGAAAATTCGGAAAAATAAAGTTTTCCCTTCAAGGAAACAACAGTTTAAAATACTTTGATATAGATGAATCTTCTGGAATAATTCGAACAAAAAAATCATTTGCAGAAATTGATGAAAATGATCTCCCCTTCCAATTAAATGTTCAAGCTCGTGATAACCCCAACGCGTCCAATGATTACTTCGAAATAAAAACTCCAGTAATAGTGAACTTAATATCACCTGAAAATCGATTAATTCTAGTAATCGGTGATGCTAAACCCGACGCAGTACAATCAAAATTGGATACTATTACGCATGTCATTGAAGAACAGTCAGGTTTTATAGCGGGAGTGGAAAAACTATCGGTAATGGAGTTTGTTAGTAGTAATGGGACGTTGGAGAAAGACAGTTCCGCTACTGATGTGTGGTTCTATGTGATCGATCCCGAGACTGATGAGATTTTACCAAGAAACAGCACTTTAGTTAAGAGGTACGTTTTAATTTTTAAAGGTGCTAGATAGAAACTTGGGAAATATTTGTTTTGTATTATAAAGTAAATTTAAATTTGAAAATAAACATAAATCCTAATGGGGTTTTAATTATCATTTAGAATAACTAACATTTTTGAGGTGAAATTAACAATTAATAGAATATAAAATTTAATTATTTAAGTTATTAATAATTTATTAACTGTAATAGGTATTTATTTATACATTTCATATTTATTTATAAACAAGACTACTTTTAATTCTTACATAAAATTACTATTATCAATAAGCAGTGCTTGTCAAGTAAAAATTATATGGTTATCTTGCATATTACAAGGTTACAAGCAACCATGGTAGAATATTAAGTAAGTAACTTTAACTGCATAAATACTTGTAAATTTGTATTTAAATAATTAGAAACTATACAGCTTTTAAAAAGAATTTAGATGCTTTCCAATGAAGATTGTGTGATTATTATCTCATACCTATTTATAAGTAAAAATTAAGTTTTGAGTGGCTTGCTTGATGTTTATTAATAACCTATTCCAATCAAGTAAACAATGACGATACGTCACCAACATTACTAAACCTACTCATAGAAAATCACAATCGCTATTGTAAACGTGGTGTTGCAAATTGTTCGTAGCTTAGTAAACTTGGTATTTTCTAATTAATATCTCATGTTTATTATCATCTTTATTAAAGGTCTATTTTGGAAAAATCAGCAATGGATAATATAACTTTTGATATAACCGGACAAATTAAGAACACAGCTTTAAATATACACGAACCCATAGTATTACCACGCACAAAAACCGCTTCGATTGCGGCTTTTAATGGAGAAGTATTTCCATATGCCCTTATTATCATAGCTTGTATTATTTTTGTCTTGGGTATTGTTGGAATTATCTACATTTGTGTGTCTTGGTCCAAGTAAGCCTTTTTATATTTTAAAGGTGTTTATTGTAATAATATATTTTAGGTATAAAAATTTTAAAAATCAAATGCAAAGACAATATGTAGTACCAGCTAGTCCTGCAAGATACGACACAGTTTACGTAGAACCCAATTTAAAAGAGTATGAGACTCAAGTACTGCAGATGTGTGTTCCAGTAGATGATCACGACGATTTTAATGATCTTCATTTAGATTTCAGCAACAAGAACCACGCTTTTAATTTGGATAATGTTAGCTATATAAGTAAAGACAATAACTTAAAAAAATATGGTTAGTAGAAAATACCTTGGTATATATTTTATAAAATTATTAAAATTTTGCTTTAGATCAATCAAGTCCTGTTAGTAGTGAATCAGCCACAACAGCTCGAGCCTCCAGTGTTGGGGAAAATCGTAAAAATAATGAACACTCCCACAGGAGGGATCATATGTATAACAATAGGTAATACGATTAAAGAATATTAAAGAATAAAAATATGCCTTTTCTTACTTAAATTCATTTTTTACAGTTTTAGCACCACAATGTTTTAAGATTCAAAATACTACAAGTCTCAGGTTATATTAATTAAATTTTTATGTAATATACTAAAGATTAGGCACCTACTAATGTCATTGATTTGAACACTTGTGTTTTTATTTTTTTTATTATTTATATGAATGCATAACACAAATAACTGATGTATAAATATTTTTTATTTGCATTTACGTTTTTCATTATTTTATGTTGTTTAACTCATTTGAATGCTCATTATTAATATTGATATTATTTTCTAATAAATTTTGTAATTTTATTTTTTCTTCAGATCTTCAGATGAAGATGACCTTAACGCCAGTCCAACGAACGAAAATGTGATGTTTAGAGAAAAAAAAGACTATTCACATTTAGGATTCACTTATGGTGATCACTCACCAATTGAAACAACAACAGAATTGTAGATGTAAAAACTGTATAGTCATAAATTTATTTAACTAATTAATTTATATTTAATGTAAGAAGAAGACTAATGGTATAGGTATATAATTTTGTATTAAAGATGATTTTTATTTTAAAACACCATCCTCCCATTTAAAAAAATCGTCCTAAAATTGTTAAATATATAAGTAGGTACCTAAAATCAAGCATTGAGAAGATTTCGTTTACTTATCTTTACCTAAAAACGTAAACCCGTAGAGGATAACTTTATATAAAAAAAAGTATTTTTCATTTAAGAATCCACCATCCACCTTTTTGTTACACCCTGTATGTACAGGGTGTCCCAAAAATGGCGCACTAACTGTATGAGGGGAATTATTCAATGTATAAAAAGATACAAATAAAATTCCGACGATTAGTTTATAAGTTATAAGGGTTTAGTTTAATTTTATATATTTGTATGAAAGGATTGAACATAAGGGCTCCCAGCACAAGGATGGCCTATGTAGTTTTATTGTATTTTTTAATAAATTAGCTATGACTTTTGGGCATTTTTGCACTGTGTATGTGTCCTGGGGTTCAAATTTAAATTTTTTCTTAGCTTTTTCCATCTGACGAACTTTCTTACTATAGTAAGTAAGTTCGTCAGCGGCCAAGTTACTTCAGCAGAAAAAGGCACTTTAGTAATTGTTTGTTTTTTTATAAACGCTCTTGGAAACCACTTTCTACCATTTTTCATATTACCAAGGGTACTCTCTAAAAATAAATTAGTCAAAAATAACTAATTTAATAGTTATTAGTGGCTGCTTTTTCACTTGTACCATGGTTAACCATGGAATACCATGGTATCCCAAAATTTAACAGCCAATTCTTATGTAAAATTGTCCCCTAAATCCGAAAATACCCTTAAAATTATGAAAGTGGAGCAGTTTTTGAGATAGAGTCAATTCCATATGAAATGGAAAATTGACTATATCTCAAAAAATTTTCTACTTTTTTAACTTTTGACGACATTTTCGGATTCAGGGGACAATTTTACATAAGAATTGGCTGTTAAATTTTGGGATACCATGGTATTCAATGTTTAACCATGGTACAAGTGAAAAAGCAGCCACTAATTACTTTTAAATTAAGTCATTTTTGACTAATTCATTTTTAGAGAGTAAAATATAATAACGCGATTGTTTCTAAAGGGCCAACAGGATCAGATGGAGATGCATATACATCCGGATGACTATGGGCAGTTTACAAACAATTTTCCACCCTTGTAAAATATTCACGTTCATAATTTGAACCAGAGACTCCGATTTGAATATTGGACATGTGTAAATTACACATTAAATTAATTAAATATCCCTGCTGAAAAAGACGGGTATTATTGGATGATTGCGAATAAATAAACAAGCTAGTTTTATGTATTTATATCTGTTTTCATCCCACATACCTGGCGAGTCGGTTTTCATCTGCAATTGCGGGTATAAATATTATCCGCGAACGTCGGGTTTTATCTATTTGGTTCTATATTGTTGATTGTTTCGACCTTTACTTGATGAAACTCCATATTATTAATATATGAATAAAAACAACACTGTTTTAAAGTTTCACTAATTTATTTATGTTTTTAATGATTAACAATTGTTTCGCTACACAGTAGCTTCTTCAGAATTGGTACATATTTTATCAAGTGGCGGTATTTATTTTAACAAATGACAGGTAATTTGAGAAAATGAATGTATAAACATTATACCTTAAGGCTAACCATTTAATCCAAGAGAACCACACATTTGATGATAACTTTAAAATATTACATGTAGCCAATAAAGGTACCAAACTAAATCTTCTAGAGTCTTTGGAAATTAATAAACTAAAGAAAAAATCTGATATTATTCTTAATGACCAAATTGAAACTAACAGCTCGCCTCTGCTAAATTTATTTTAGAGTGTATACTTAATTTTTCCAAAATTATGTAAGTTTTATTAATACCTTCAGGTATAATGTTTATACAACATTCATTTTCTCAAATTACCTGCCATTTGTTAATATAAATACCGCCACTTGATAAAATATGTACCAATTCTGAAGAAGCTACTGTGTAGCGAAACAATTGTTAATCATTAAAAACATAAATAAATTAGTGAAACTTTAAAACAGTGTTGTTTTTATTCATATATTTGGTTCTATGTTTGCTTTCGTCTGGTTTCATCCGCTTATACCTATATTTGGGTTTATATCTGCATTCACCCGGTTTTATCTGCAAATACCTGATTCAGTCTGTTTTACCCAGTTTTATCTCCGTTTGCCTTCATTTACTTCTTTGCGTCCGGGTTTATCCGCGATTATCTGATTTTATCCGGTGAGAAGGAGGTGATACATCTCTATCCCGGAAAGCGGGCAAATAACTCAGTATTTGTTAAAATTCTCAATAGATGGCGCATTGACATGGAACCTGTTTTAATCCCGGTGCACAACAAACTTTTTCCATTTTTAGTAAAATTGAATAGATTAACTTCAAAGAATACTAAAACTAAAACTAAGCTTAATTAAAATTCAAACAAAACCATTTCAACGTCACCTTTGTGCGTTTGTGGCGACTGTGCATTTTGGCAGAACAGTTGGCACTACATTATTGCCAGTCATTCTGCAAATTAATATAATAATGCTGTAAGAAAAGATGTAATTTTCGTTAAGGAGGGTAGAAGACTCTCCTAGAGTTTTCATTATCTTATAATTTGTTGTTAAAAGTTAAGTTGTTATAGAATATATGGATTTCCTTGGTAAAACCTTAGGTTCTTAGTTGACTCGCCATCTAACGAACAACGAACGAAATACTGACTTATCTGGACGCTTGCTTCTGTACTGCAGAGATAGGAGCTATATCAACATTAAATACTAAAGTAGCAGACAAAGAGGTAATCAAACTCTTACAAAATAATCAAATAAACCTGAAAACAACGTTGCCAAATACAGTAAAATAACAAGAAATAGTGAAAAATTGTAAACCGAAAAAACTATCAACAAAGAAAATAAGAAGAAACATCAACCTGAAGAAAGAATAAACAAAATAACGGTAAGCAAAGTAAACTCCACAGCTTTATTTAATTCTGCTAAAAATTGGATCTTAGATGTTGATATTTTACGGAAATCGTGTATTAAATTCCGCGATTGTTTTCCTTTCCAGGAAGCGACTATAATAGAGAGCGTTTGTAAAGTATTTAGGAGACATTTTCTTCAACCTAATACCATAGGTATTATACCTCTTAGTGTTATAGAATGAAAGATAATTTTTCAGAAATATCGCTTAAGTGGTTGTGCTGGCAAGAATCTCTATTTCCGGGTAATGGACAGGAAATAACTCAACTAAGAGAATCTCCTAGTTGACGGTTTTTATGCGACCACTAATACTGTATTCGAGTTTGATGGCTGTTATTTTCATGGTTGTGAGAAATGTTTTCCTCAGCAGACAACCTCTTTTCAAAATTCTCGAGAAAACTAAAGCCAAGCACAAAAAAATGAAGAAGCCGGGTATAATTTAAAAAAGATTTGATGAAGCCATAAGAGCTTGTGTTAATAATAAAAAAATACCTAGAGGCACCATTAAACCCGCGCGAAAGCTTTTTCGGTGGTCGTAGAAATGCAGTAAAATTGTACCATAAAATATCAGATAAGAAGGAAAAAATGTGTTACTTTGATGGCTGCTCGGTATATCCATATGTAAATAAATACAAAAATATCCCCTTGGCCGTCCTAAGACTCATATTGGCGAAGAAGGGTGCCGGAAATTGCCACCTAGAAATTTATACCACCCAGTTCTACCGTACCTATAACCGTATAAATATAGCAATAAACTAATGTTCCCCTTATGTAAAGCTTGTGTAGTCATTGCACCAGGGACAATGTCTGCATGCAGAAAAGGAGCGTAAGTTTACCGATGAATTAAGGAAAGCTAATTATTTAAATTATAAAATCTTGGAAATTTATGAGGTATGGGAATATAAAGTTACTCAATTCAACCGTGAAACCAAGTCTTAAAATTAGATAAATCAAAAATATGTTATAATTAAAGATGGTTTAGGTACAAAATAGGTAACTAACGTTTCGTTTATAATTTTGTTTAGCCGCATACCCAAACACAGATTATACCCACAATAAACTATTTCTATGCAATAAACTGTGTTTCACTAAGTGACACTCACTACACAGAAGTTCTATGACAAAACATAAGCTCACTACAAAGAAGGTAACTGTAAAGAAAGTTACTGTTACAGTAGACCATAAGAAAAAATTGTATACCGTTGAGTTGCACGCCCTGGATAAAATATTGGCGCAAAATTTAAAAAGAACACAAAAAAATAAAATAAGTAAAAATACGTAATAATAGGTAACAAATAGGTGAAAATAAACTGACAAATTAAAAAATATGTAACAAAAGTATAAAAAGGTAGTTTAAAGCAAAAACCTCCAAAAAAGGTAAAAAAGGTGAAAACAAGTTAAAAAAATAGGTAACAAAAGTATAAAAAAGGTAGTTTAAAGCAAAAACCTCCAAAAAAGGTAAAAACAAGTTAGGTTCATATAAAAGAAAATCTTTTAAAACACATTTTGGCATTATTGGTTTTCAAATAGTTACATCGGTTGAAAAAAGGTAAAATAACTAAAATCCCATCCCTAGTTATAATCTGGGTATGCGATTTATTGCTAAATTAATGTTAAAAAGTTTTGGGGTAAATTCGGGCAGAGAGAGAACTTAATGCAGACATCGGTAATTAGTGAACCCCTGGAACTATGTATCATATTAACTGACCTTTCTGTTTTTGTCAACAATATGGTAATTATTAGTAATAAAATGCCATGATGAACTGTTAATGTCGCTATAGCAGCGTATACCACGGCTATGGCGCGACTAGAACTTTATTATTTAGAGAAACTAGGTAGACGAGTACTTTACTTTGATACACATAGTGTTATATTCACATATAGAGAGGGTGTATGGTTACCAGAAGTATGCGATTATTTGGGTATGTTAACAGACGAAGTAACTGAA